ACTCGGCAGCATGCCGTAAAAGGTATCAGGATTGGTACGATGCACAGCAGAGACCTGCAGGTGTGCAGCCACAAGGTGGTTTGCCAGACATCGCGCAGCAAGCTGACGATGATCCTCGCAGGCTGCCACCTGGTTTGCTTGGGGATGTTCCACCAGTGCCTGTGAACGTTCCACCAGACCCCAATGCATCCATCCCTGTAGGTCCACATCAGCAATCACCACCGAAATTGCGAATCAATGTGAAATCACCGCCGAACCAGGTACAATTGCAAGCGCCTCCTTCTCCTAGAAGCAGTCCTCAAGTGAGAACAATTGAGTCCAGTGCTGATGCTGACATGGATGTCGTTGAAGTTCACACATCATCACCATCAGCACCGTCAGTCCCAAGCCAACCGGCCGCTGAGGCGCCCGCATCATCCTCATCAGCACCACCAGCGCCAGGTCACCAGGCTACGCCAAGTGGACCGGATGACATGGACTTGTCTCGGTTAACCCAAGCCTGGGATGACGTGAGCTGACCGAAGCCGGACACAATGATCGATATTCTCTTGACTAAGTTCACTGAACCACCGCCAGAAAGTGAAGATGCAAAATTTATAATGCCTTTCTATATCCCAAAATTGGGTGAGAAAATGGTTTGCAAGCCGCATCAATTGTGTGGGCGCAGAGTGTTCCTGGTGGAGCCCGATCTTGTAAAATCCGAAGATAACTCAGAAACGCTCAACATCCAGGACGCAGTCAAAGCTCGAAAGATCGAAATGGATGCCATGAGCGAAGTGAAGTTCGGAGAAGTGATTAATCAGCAGGCCGCACTAGCCTATTGCCAGAAGTACGGCATCAAACCCATCAACGATGGGTAGTGAATCCGAAGGTCATTGAGGGAAAAACCGATGTCCGTGCCCGCATGGTTGTGCAGCAAGTGAAGTCGGGGCAATCCAGCGCCTGGAATCTCGGTATCAGTTCGAGTACCCCATCACTTGAGGCGGTAAGGGCCATTCTAACTCAGGCGCACCATCGCAAGCAGGCCACCCAATTCCTTGACGTCTCAACGGCGTTCTTGCATGCTGACCTTCCCAAGGGATATAAGGTTTGTATTAGACTACCCCAGGGCGTCAGCATGGACGAGAAAGGCTCCCAACCAGCCTTCGCAATCCTGAGCAAAGCAGTCAATGGGCTAAGAATAGCCTCAAAGGCGTGGCTCAACTTGGTCGATGCTGTGTGTGGGGGACTTCGGCTTCGCCAAAGCGCCACAGAGCCCGCGTTTATAGTGGTTGGGTACAGGGTCACCAGATGACCGTTCTCATCTATGTAGACGACATTGTTGTGGCATCTCATTCCCAACATCACACGAACATATTCAAGAATGCCCTCTTGACTAAGGTCCGCAAGGTGAAGGAGACTGGATTCCTTCCAGTCGACTCTTACTCAGTGGCCACATTCCTGGCTAGGACCATCGAGCGTGATGCAAGTGGCATATGCATCCGTGTGCCTCCCAGCTACTTGCGCTGAAGGAATTGACCGCCTCGCCTGATCTCGTCAAGGAACTTGATGAACGACCCAGTGAAGTGGACGAACAGCAAGAGTACTTGAGTGACGATGCTGCAAGTCGCTATCGCGCCACATTGGGCCGCGTTGCATTGTGGATTCAAACTAGGCCAGATCTTGGTAGGTATGCATCAGTGCTAGCCCAGGGTCAAGCCAAACCAACGGTCAAGTTCGAAAAGGGACTGGTAAAATTTCTGAAATTCATAAAATCTCAGGTTCACTTTTACCAAAAGTTTCCAGCCGAAAATTCGATGATCCCCCATGATGTGAAATCAGAACTTGTCACTTACTGCGACAGTTCATGGGGAGCCAGCAATGCAGAAATGCGAAAATCATGTGCCGGATGCGTGATAGTGTGGAAAAATTGTCCACTAAAGCTCGTTTCCACGGCTTCAGACCAGCGTTGCGTTGTCAGGCTGCGAAAGTGAAACCATAGGACTCCTGCACGCAACACAGGAGACACTTTGTATCCGTCACCTAGTCACATTCTTGGACTCATGTGGGGAAATCAATTCTTCTCGTGGATCACTTCAAATTTCTGAGGTAGAAAATGACCAAGGTGCCATAGCAACCATCTTGACAGACAGTTCGAGTGCTCGGGCGCTGACTCACGGATCGGTCACCAGACGGACGAGGCATTTGTCCATCGCTGTAGCTTATCTGCAAAATGCCGTGCAGTGTGGTTTGTTGGTCCTCTATTGGATAGGCACCAACCTCATGAATGCCGACCTCCTCACAAAATGTCTCCCAAAAGACAACTTGCGTGAAATGCAGGAGCGCCTTGGCTTCAGTGAGATCAAGCCGCCCGAGATTTGGCAGTTTGCAGGTAAAATCAAGCCAAAGCAGATGTTGAAGATGTTCAACTTCGATAGTTTGAACGCCAGATCTGTAGAGATACTCAAGGTCTTAAACCCAGGAGACTTGGTGATTTATGACATTTGTTCAGAGCCCGGTTTTGACCTCGCGCCACTGTATGGCCAATCATTCTCAAAGAACAAGATGTATGTTCTGCAGATCACCAAAGATGATGACCTTGAGCGCTCCGCCGATCGGCTGGTCGCATGGACCAAGCAGTTGCAATACAGAGGAGTGTGGGTGTGGTCACACTTCTCCCCACCGTGCACCGGTGGTTCACCGGTGCAGCATCTGCAACAACAACCTCGCCGCCAGGTTGAGGAAGTATCACCTAGAATTTGCACGCCTCTTGAAACACGGAAAACGTGTGTTGCAACATGCTGACATCCGAACATTTGAGCTCTCCCGACATTGCAGCTACTGGCGTGAGCATGACGTACAAGCCATGAGCAACGAATGTGAATTGTCCTCTTGTGGCATGTTTGATCGTTGTGCTTATGTTAGTGCATCACTGCTTCCCACGAACCGACACACCTTTCGCATTCAAGCCAACATTCCTTTCTTTGGTAAGCGATTGTGCCATTGTGAAAATCACCTGCCACTTGATTACCAAACGCTGAGAAAGTACGTGCTCTATCCCAAAGGACTTGTAAATGAGTTCAAAGGACACGTGGTCGCTTGGATAGAGAGTTGGTAATTGTTGATTTGTGTATGCACCGCCGAAATGATTGTGGTTTAAAAGCACAGCAACAGGAAGTGCTTACCTCATGATAGCACGTCACGGCGATTCAAAGCTGTATCACGATGAATTCAAAGTAGGTAAACTTGGAAAGGACAAGCAGCAAGGTACAATCACTTGACAAAATTTCAACATTGATTAACTTGAAGTGAATACAAGGAAGTAGCATTTCTCACCCGCATCGCGTGCCCGCCATGGACAGGAGTCAATCGTGGGATCTTGTGGATGAGGAGGCATCAGCCTCGAGTGTGACAGCACATGCATCAGGTGCTGGGCCAACACCCGCGTCTTTCGGCGGACATAGGTAGAATTGAGGGTGACCGTATCATTCTCAATGAAGATCAAGTGTTCCAGCCACCTTTGCCTCCGCCGGTTTACGTGGCATTGCCAGCGTTTGCCACGCCAATGCCGAAAGGCGCATCATCGGTGCGTTACCGAGTGCCGCCTCAAAATATCCGCACGCGTGCCAATAGTGATGCATCATCTTTGCATAGTGTGCGGTATAAGGCGCCACCGTCCACCATCAACGCCAGTACCAACATTCCCGCGAATCGTGCATCAGGCTCAAGTTCGGTTGGCAACAGAGTCGTAGGCAGGAGCAACGTACTTGCTTTCCTCAGTCCGGAGATCGAGGTTTTCCATCATCCCGATTGCCCCTTGCTGCCAAACCGACCCAACTTTCGGGTCTACCATGCTGCAAGGTGCTGGTCTCAGGAGCACCTTGATCAAGATCAGATTCGCCGCGTGTGGAGGTCAGAGACAGGAACCAAGGATCAGAAGTGGCCCGGGTGTACCACCCCATAGGATGTGGCTGCAGCACCAAGCCCGTCCTGCGCCAGCAGTTGCGCCCGTGCCAGCAGTGTATTGGCCATTAGGCCTGAGATAAAAAATGTATATGGCTAGCTCCAGCCTGAAGCTGGACAAGATCCAGACAAGAGAGCGGATGACCTCGGTCATCGAATCCGCAGCCATCTTTGCACAGTAGCCCTAAGGGCTCCCTAAGTGCCGCTTTAAATTAGGATCGCCATGGATCTTTGTGTGTGCACTGCTGAGTGCGCCAAAATCCCTTTCCATAGCAGGCGGTGTTGGCCATCAGGAGTGTCCGTGACTGTTGTCACGACCTTGGATATATTTGTGAATAAGGAACTTCAGGCTTGTGGATGTAAGAAATCCACTCTTGTGGAATTTGGGCATGCCGCCCAACGTGCAAGAAATCAACTGGGCATGCCGCCCAAGTTGCAAATCCCATTGCAGCACAGTGTCATCTCAAAGCTTTAGGGGGTAAGGAAAATGCATCCTTCTTGAACGCTTCTTTGATCACAATGCAGTCGTGTGCATAATGTAAGATACATGGTAAATGCATTCGCATCCATGCCAACTCCGTTGGCTCAAGACGCATCGCCCGACCGATGGAAAAAGGTCGCGGCCGAAGAACCTGGTTTGTTCTTCTTGTTGTGTTTTCTTTTCTGGAAACCCTGGGTCTCAAAAGGTTGTGGCCCTTAGCGGGTTTCTTCAGTGTGTGTGTGTGTGTGTCTGTGTCTGTGTCTGTGTCTGTGTCTGTGTCTGTGTCTGTGTGTCTCTGTGTCTGTGTGTCTGTGTGTCTGTGTGTCTGTCTGTCTGTCTGTCTGTCTGTCTGTCTGTCTGTCTGTCTGTCTGTCTGTCTGTCTGTCTGTGTCTGTCTGTCTGTCTGTCTGTCTGTCTGTCTGTCTGTCTGTCTGTCTGTCTGTCTGTCTGTCTGTCTGTCTGTCTGTCTGTCTGTGTGTGTGTGTTTGTTTGTTTGTGCGTGCGTGCGTGCGGTTGGTTGGTTGGTTGGTTGGTTGGTTGGTTGGTTCTTGTTTGTGTGGTTGTGACATAGCCGCAGGTGGATGTGTGGAGCCATTGGGCCTCTGCCCACTTTGAGAATTCCACGGAGGCCCAAACGAGGTGCCCAGTTGCTCGGCTGTAGATAGACGCCGAGGCATGGGGTGCCATGGCAGAGTCCCACGCCGAAGAGCGCGGGGTGCCATGGCCGCAGCCTCGCGATCTCACACGTGCCCATGGCCCCACTTCCGTCTAACGCCATGTCACAATGTAGCCCTTTTCAACCTCCCGGCCTCCCGAACCCCAAGCCCTCCCGAACCTCACTCCGGCAATTCTAAGGTCCTCCTGGCCGGAGGCGCAAGTTTTGGGCGCTTGAATCATGGAAGACCCGATGGGCTGCAAGGTCTGGGCCAGCTTCGTTGGCAACTCGACCGTGGCCGTGGCCGTAGTACTCTGAGCCAAAGCGGGCTGAGAGTGATGTCTTCGCAGGTGGGCGAGGAGTGGCAGCCCGGGTTCCGGTGTGCCAAGTGCTGATCCGCTTGCCATTGCCCGTGTCTCTCTTTGAAGGTACCTCGATACTAGCCAGGATGGCTACGCTGGGGCCTCAGATGCAGGTTGTTCACAAGATCCCGTCGAGGCTCTCATTGCCAAGTGCGCCGAGCCGCAGCTGAGGTCTCGGAGGACGAATTTGCGGCAGGCTTTGCCTTGTCAACAAAGAACAACCAGGCCAGCGCAGATTTTTGGTGCAAATGATTCGTGAGATATTCAGGATGACACCGTCTCCAAGGTTCTCAGTTCTGGCCCCAGGGCATCCTGCCTCCCGCATCCCTGCAACGTGATACGACCAGGCGATGCCACTGGAGTGGTGCGGTCCAATCTTTGGCTTGACGGTTGCCTGGCCTTTGCGGTTCCGGCCTTGGGCTGGGGCAGGTGATGCCAAGTGAGTGCTGCGCTCAGCTGGCATGTTGAGTTGACAGGTCATACTGTTGGCGGCCCTGTGCTGCTACTGCAGAAGGCTTGCCGGGCGCGCTGCATGCGGGGCGTGCCGAGCTGGTGTGGGTCATTCGTCATGTCCGACAATGCTGACAATATGATGCCCAATTGCTGCCCAATGCTTTCTGTTGATTTGGACTGGGTTTGCAGCCATCACGGCTCAACGAGCGACTTGCGCCGGGTCATGTCCTGTGTGAAGCTTAGGGTGCAGGCATGGGGCAGCAGTGGGCCTGCATGGGCTCGTCCAGACTTGAGGCTGGTGTGAGATGCGTGCGGGCTTGGCATGAAGGCCAGCACCACACAAGCCGGAGCTGCCAAACTTCCTGCGTCGCAGGTGACAATCAAGTCCAGAAGTGGGGACTTTGAATTGGAGGCGCAGGGTTGAGAGTGGGCATGTGATTGGGTGATCGGTTCGCAGCGCCAGGTGGACAAGGATGAGTTAGTGCCCCGAACGCATGAGCAGTTCTGACAGAAAGTCCAGGGCCCGAAGCTTTTGCGCGCTAGGTTGGGGATCTTCTTAAGAAGGCAAGAGCAGCTTGGGCCGCACGGTGCGCTCGACTTCCATTTCCGCGCCGCGAAGCCATCGCGCTAGGAGCGGCACCCGCGCCCTGGCTGGGCCACTGGCGTGCAGGTGAAGCTGGCAAACAAGCCAGAAGACCTCGCAGAGAGCGAGCGGAGGACTTGCGCAGTGGCCGTTCCTTCACTTCGCTTCGTTTGCTTCGCTGGTTGATCCCATTAGGACGCTGCAAGAGGTGGGCATTTCCCAGGGCGCCACCTTGAAGTTGGCCTACTACAAGCAGGCGCTGGTCTCACGGTTGCGAATTCGGGTTCCAGGGTTGGGCCCAGGGGCCCAGGTCTCTCCCGAGGAGGGGCGGGAACTCCGCTTCGGTGGCGTGGAGCCTGGGTCCAAGGCAGCGCTACTCATTTCGAAGGACGGGAACCACCGAGACATTCGCGACATTCGCGCGAGGCAAAAATGCCACTTGCTGGTATTTGCTGGTTGTTTCGGGTGCCTCTCGTTTGGCCATCGGAGTCTCGAACTCCAAGAGTCCAGGATGTGGAAGCCGTACCCATCCCTGGCCTCGCGGGCTTCTGAAGCCTTAGCGCGACCAAATGCCAAAGAGCTCGCAGCTTTCAGGGAAAAGACGCGCGATGCGGATGTTTGCAAAGTCTTGACTTTGACCGGCACGTACGCATGCAGGTCGCCGAAGACCCGTGTGGCGAGGTCGGCACAGCTCTCGCGGCCCCCACAGGCGCTGCGGATTTTTAATCTTTGAGCTGTGCTTTCTTTGGTTTCGGTCGCACCTCGCTGTTTTGTGTGCAACTTTCTTGATCAACATTCAAACATTTCTCTCCGCTTGCATGGCCACTACAAGAAATGATTCGTGAATTAGGTGCGCCTATATGTTATGCAGGTTTCACAAGGGTTTACATCCAATATACAGATCATACACGTACAGCGTATGTATGCATCTCTCTCTCTCTCTCTCTCCCTGTCTCTTGTGCTAGGTGGCACGAGCAGGAGCTGCGCCAGGGGGCTCGGAGCTGTCCAGAGACTACCGAGCCGATGTTTCGATGCCGAAGCGTTCTGCCCGAAGCGGTGACCCAGCCGAAGATGCCGAAGCGTCAAGGCGTCAAGCCCCACGCAAGAAGGCAAGAAGGCGCTTGCCCATTGACATCAGAGGCCGTGGTGCCGGCGCCATGGCTCGCAAGCGGCGTATGTGGCAATGCCTCGTGCTGGGCTGCCTTTGCACCCAGCCGCTTGCCTTCGTTCCTACGTTCCTACGTTTACACCAGAATATTCAACATGCGCGCATTGCGCGCATTCGGCGCAGGCTGTACTCTTTGGACTTTCTGGGTGCGCGGCAACTTCCAAGACGTCTAGGCCTGCAGAGCCCGGCATCCAACGCAACGCGCGCTGCCTCGCTGCCAGGGGCGCTCTTTCTTGCCACGGTGGTCTTAGGCCCCGGCCACGATGCCCAGGCCACTGAACAGAGCTGTGGCACACTGGACGGCTGTCTGAATCATTTACATCTGTGCAAGAACCAGGCTGCAAGGCTCGTCCGGGACAAGGGCGAGGCAGTTCTTGACCCAAAGACTGGGCAGAAAGCTGTGCCACCCTGCGAGAAGGTATGCAACAAAGACACTTGGCAAGGCCATTCCCAAACAGCGAGACAATGTCAGCGCATCAATGTCGATCAAGCGCAGCCAAGGAGTGCTTGGCAATTGTAGGCTGGTGGGGTGTTGACTACTTTGTGGGGAAACACGTTCTGTGTCCAGCTTGAGTGCTTTGAGTGAGCGATGACTATTCACATTTCACCGCTTCGTGCAGGCCAAGTGAACGAGAAGAACGTGGCCTACTGCCAGAAGCGGTGCCAGGATGACTGCGCTGCTGGGGACGGCTTTGGCGCCACCGAGACGTTCATTGACGCAGACATGCCTCGTGTGTCCAAAGACTCGGAGAAGAGCCCCGTCGAGCGGTTTGCAGCTTGGCAAGCCGCGAAATCGACAGCTTCCAAACTGGTGAGCCCAGGACGTGACACGAGTACACAAGTGCGAGTTGAGGCGGAGTGGGGCGCGGAAGCCAACGTTCAAATGATGGAGTTCATGAAGCCGCCCGGCGCAGCGCCAGGCAATTGGGGTGTGTTAGAATCTTGCGATTCCCTGAAAGCCTGAAAGGGGCTTGCAGCTGAAATGATTTCGCGGGGCGTGGGGCGTTTCCGGGCCCTGTGCAGACCTACAGCCAGACTCGCTGTCGGCCGGCGACGATGTGCCAGCTGCTTCCAGAGCAGAGATCGCTAAGCCGCTCCTCGACGCGCGGCAGCTGCTGAAGCCAAAGTGATTCACTTCGGCCGTGTCTCTCATAGATGCTCAGTGCGTTTGCCGGAAAAGCAGCACCCACAAGCTTGTGGGCGCGCCGATTGCGTGGGGATCCATAGCGATGCTTGCTGACGTTGCAAAGGCCGCCACCAAGTGGGGCAGAGAAGGCTGAGGCTTGCGAGTGACACGAGTGGCTCTGAGTGACTCTGAGTGACTCTGAGTGACTCTGAGAGACTCTCAGATTCCTTGCAGGAGAAGGGCTCGGGCCCTGAGGCCCAATGCCTGGACTTCCCGGGCCCAGGTCCCCAGGGTCAGGGTCAGGGCCCGGGGCTGTGGCTGTTCCCGAACGTCGGGCAGGCGCGCGCTCGCAATGCGCACAGAAAACGCCTGCAAAAGCTGCAGGGCTTCGGGGGCTTCAGAGGCTTCGCGGGCTTCGGGGGCCAAGAGCCGGAGCCTCAGATCTCAGACATTCGCAGATGGGAGGCCGACGCCGACTTAGGTCCTTTCGGTACCAGCCGGTTGCCATGGAGGCGCCGGTCTGTGCGTTTTTTGAGGGCGAGGTTGGTCGAGGTTGGCTCTGGCCTTGAGGACATGAACCTTGGAGTCCCGCGCGCGGCCTCCTTCGAGAGCTTCTCAGGTGTCTCTCAAAGCACGACTTGATCGTGTGAAGCTGTTTCGGAGGGTGTTTAGATTTCTGGGCTGGCGGGCCGTGGAGATACTTGACGGCAGGGTGGCCTGCGCAGCAGACGGGCTCCTTCTCTATGCATCCGCAGACGGGTTCTTTCTCTATGCAGCCGCAGAGCGCCTAGTTGCGCCACAGGTTGAAGCCTCCCAACGCAATTGAGACGCTTGCTTGCATGCAAAACAGGCATAGCATTGTGCAATGTTTCAGTGGTGGGAAGAACAGCGACCCGCATTCTCATCATCCGTGCCCGAGTCGCAGCCTTGTAGCACCCGGGACATCACCCCGCGCCTAGCTTCCTAGCCATGTCCAGCCCCAAGTCCCCGCCAATTCCGGGCCGCACGGACGACAGCTGCTTGGCGCAAAAAGGCTGTAATATCGAAAGGAATGCATTCCTTCCGGGATGGCGTTTTTCTTCAAAGGGATGTCATTTTCATGCTTACTGCAATTGACCTCAGCTGAAAGAAACACCCACAACTCTCCTTTGACAAACACTAAAACCCGATACTCACCCAAAACCATCCTCAACAAATCCAAATGCAACCCCTCAGCCAGCATTAAGCCAACCCCAAACAACCCCTAAAACCACCATCAACTAAATCATACGAACCGCCAACCAGCCAAAGCCCCAGCTCAAGTCCGCATCAAACAAGTCATTGTGCGGAACCATCCTTCAAAGCTCATCAGTCTGGTCCTCTAGGAGGAAAAAACGATGAGCAACGCAGGGAAAAGGCAGATACGTCAGATTCAAGCTGTTGTTGCGACGTGTTGGGTCGAGATGGGAGACGCACGGAATAGGAGGTGTGAGGTTGCCTTGGCAAATGGGGCTTGAGATGGCTTGGGGAGAGGGTGAGCCGGCTTTTGCCTGAGAGCGAAGGCCAGTCGCAGCTTCGGGAGAAGGCGCGAACTTTGCCTTGAGTGATGCTCTTCTCTTTGATTGATCTGTTATGTTTGAAGCCTTCCTTCAGGAGCAGAGGGAGGCCAGGAAGAAGTTCTTCGACAGGCGCGGGGGAAACGGCGGCCTTTTGGGGGAGGAGAGCGCGAGTGCGCGAGCGCGCGAGGGAGAGTGGCGCCGCCATGCGCCAGGCATCGGCAGCTGAAGGATCGCCTGGACGGAGAGCTTCAACAGGAAGCGCGGGCCGAGGAGGTGCTCAAGGCTCGGGCGCGCCGCTTGGACGATCTGAAGGTCGGAAGAGAAAGCCAACGCGAGAGCGCTTGTGACGGGTCGCTTGAGAGTCATGGGTCATTCAGAGTTTTTGAGAGTCGAGAGCATGGGTGCTGGCAAGTGGGTGCTGGGGTTGGGGCTGCTTGAGTTCCATTTGGCCATTTGTGCAAGCTGAAGGCCACAGGTTTGGCGACAGGTTGTTTACTGGGAGTCATTGATTGGTTCCAGCATGATTTGATGCTTGGCTGTAGTAGGGATTATGATTTAAGTGAGTTTTTCGGGATAGGGGGACACATTCAATTGCCCCCAATGCAAGCTCGATGCCAACCAAAGGTTTGCCCTGCTTTGTGGCACGGGCGTGCGACATTCCTTGCGGCCTTTGCTGCACGCGCCCTGCTGCCAAAAGCCAAGTCTCATTTAAAATATAGCAGTTTCTCCAAGCATTGAATGAGAAGGAAAGACTCGGTACCATTTCAGGATTTTGTGCGTTTTGGCGTTTGTGCAGTTTTGGGCTCAGCCGAGGTCAGGCTGAGGACCGCTTCGAGCAGCCTCGCGACTGGCAACTGGCTCATGACCAGAGCCTGGCAGCGGAGAAGCAGCGGAAGCAGGCTTACCTGAGGCCAGGCACCAGTCAGTCACTAGTTCTGATGCGTCATTCAAGATGCGCGCTCAGGATGTGGTCGATCAAGGACCCGCCAAATCAGGGGTTCCGTAGCCGGATGGATTTGCCGAACGGGCGCAGGACTTTGAGTCGCTGCGGGTCCTTGGCAAAGGCTCCTTCGGAGTGGTGCACTTGGTGCGTCACCAGGGCAGTCAGGTTTATGCCTTGAAGCAGATCAAGAAGGAGCACTACCGCAACAAGAACCACATGAAGGCGGCTTGGCTGTTTGGCAGGGCAGTTGGAAATGTGGTGTTTCCTGTGACATGCGCACTCGTGTGAGTGAGGCCTACAACGAGCGGGACGCCATGGTGAAGGGCTATGGGGTGTGGTTCACTGACCTGCTCTGCACTTTCCAAGACTCCACCAGCATCTATCTGGTGATGGAGTTCATGCAAGGCGTGTCAGTGTGTCGTGAGCAGCCAGTGAAGAAAGAGAGAGAGAGAGAGAGAAAGACAGAGAGAGAGAGAGAAAGACAGAGAGAGAGAGAGAAAGACAGAGAGAGAGAGAGAGAAAGAAAAGAAAGAAAGAAAGAAAGGAAAGAAAGAAAGAAAAGAAAGAACGAAAGAAAGAAAGATAGAAAGAAAGAAAAAACGAAAATAAAGCAAGAAAGGGATGGAAGGAAGGAATAACAAAAGAAAGAAAGAGCAAGAAAGAGCAAGAAAGAGCAAGAAAGAGGGAGAGAGAGAGAGAGAGAGAGAGCAAGAGAGAGGGAGACAGATAGAGAGAAAGAAATCAAAATAAATAACAAAAATAAAGAAAGGAAGAAAGCAAGCAAGGGAAGGAAGGGAGGAAAAAAGAAACGAACAAAGAAGACAGAAAGAAACAAAGAAACATAACAAAAGAAAGGAAAGAAATAACGAAGAAAGAACAAACGAAGGAACGAACGAAAGACAGAAGGAAAGAAAGGAAGACACACATAAATCAACAAGAAATATAAAAAAATACACAATTGAAAAATGCAGAAATAAACGAATACAGATAACAAAGAAAGAAAGAGCACAATAACGCAACGAAGGAAGGACATAAACATAACAATTAAAAAAAAAAACACGCATTCACACATAGAGAGAAAAGAGAAGGAGAGAAGGAGAGAAGGAGAGAAGGAGAGAAGGAGAGAAGGAAGGACGGAAGGAAGGAAGGAAGGAAGGAAGGCAGGCAGGCAGGCAGGAAGGAAGGAAGGAAGGGAGGGAGGGAGGGAGGGAGGGAGGGAAAGAAGGAAGAAAAGAAGAGAAAGAAAGAAAACAAGAAAGACAGAGACAAATACTGCAAAGAAAGCAAACAAAGGAAGGAAGGAAGGCAATAGCAAAGCAAGGAAGGAAGCAAATACAGAAAGAAACCAAACACATAATGAAGGGAATAATCAGCCAAGCAACAACATGAAAGCAAGACATAAAGACAGACAGAACAAAAGAAAGCAACGGAATAACTGAATATGATACATACATACGTTCCAACAAACAGAAAGAAACAAAGAAGAAAACAAGGAAAGAAGGGAAGGAAGGAAGGGAGGAAGGAAGGATGGAAGGAAGGATGGAAGGCATGAAACAAATACGGAAAGGACGGAAGGCAGCATGGAAGAGTGGCCGTTGCCGCGTGTTGAGCAGATTTGAGTGCGAGAGGCGAGGGGGTTCTGAAGGTGGTGACTTCTTTGCGTACATGGAGAAAAAGGACAAGCTGTCGATGTACGAAGCAAAGTTTTACATGGCGGAGCTCATCCAAGCCATCGATGCCATTCATCAGTGTGGCTTCATCCACCGCGGCTTGGCAGCTTCAAAAATGTGGCCACTGAGGGGCTCCCAAAAAGACGCGAAGACCGTGCCATTGTAAGGCGATCTGAAGCCCGACAACCTGGTGCTCACGGCCCAGGGGCACCTTAAGCTTCTGGACTTTGGGCTCTGCACGCCAATCGACACAGAGGATCCTCGAGCGTTCAGAATCAGAGAAAGTTTCTGCTTCCCGATGCCAGCCAGATGCCAGGAGTACGTTCAGCAGACAGAGTACGATTGCAGGTATCAGGGCGTATTCCTCGAGAAGCCAGGCCGTGTGCCGTGTGCCGCATTCTGAGCCCTGTGGGCCTGTAACGGGGGTGGGCGTTGCAACTCGTACCGCTATTCGGGTCAGGCCGCGACGGCTTGCGCACCGCCTGCGGCACTCCACAGTACATGGCACCAGCAACTCAGCGAGCTGACTGAGAGAACTCTTCACTTTGCAATGGTTGGGGGAATGTTGCAGAGTGTTACAGAGTGTTGCACACAGTTGCAGACGTTGCAGGCCGTGCGCCCCTAGCCTTCGCAATGCAAGAACGGTTTCGGGCGCAAGCTGAGGAGATGTTCCTTGGCCGAGCCTGCGGTGCCTCGGACCTCTGGGCGCTTGGCGTCATGACGCCGCTCGACTCGAGCTCGCCATTTTGTCGCCCTTTTTCCTGTTTTGGCAGAGAGAAGTCAGATGAGAAGCGAGAAGGAGAGAGTGGCTATCCGCGCGGAGTGCGAATGTCGCGTCGAAAGGTACGAGTGCCTCTCCGGCAGTCTGCCCTTCTTCTCGCAGTCCCAGGACCGGCGCCGCGCCTTCCAGGAACTCAAGTCCCAGATCATCCACCACGCGCCTCGGTCTGCGAGCGGAAACGGCGAGCGGGTCGGACAGGGAGAGAATGGGAAGCTAAGGGTAGACTCGGGTAGAGGGACCTGAGAGAGCTGAGGGGGCAAACAAAAACGAAGCCTAGTGGATAATTACTGGGCACGGCAGTTGCATGGCAGGAGGCGAACCTGCCGCACCGCCTCTCGCGGATGCAGAAAAAGCAGCGGGATCATGGGGCCTTGCCGCAGCATTGCGTCAACGCCGCGCAGTTCGTCTCCAAGGCGGGCACGTCGCCTCATGAATTTGCCAACTGATTCGGAGATGCCACGTCGCCTCCTGCGCAAAGCTGGAGGTGCTGTGCCCCACCGAGCGGCGAATCACGCTCTTCGAGTGCCGCCTCGAAGACTTCTTTGAAGGCATCAACTTCAGCCAGCTGCAGGACATCGCAAATGCCTTGCCGTATTGCAGCAGCACTCGAGTGTCCATCGCACGCTCGGCCCGGGAGATGCACTGGGAGGGCCATTTTTTTAGGATTTTTCGTTTTTTTTTAGGAATTATTTTTGTTTTTCAGGGTGGGTGGCTTTTCGGCTTTTTGGCTTTTGTGGCTTTTACGTGGGTTTTTGTGGCTTTTGTGGCTTTTCATTTCGCATCCTCTGCATTCACAGTTCCTCTCTTTCGCATCCTCTGCATTGCCAGTTCCGCTGGCTTTTTGGC